ATAGAGGAGGAAGCCCTGACCAGCATCACTGCAGCTTGGCCATTGGCCAGGGCTGCAGGGTCCTGACTGTGGGGTGGGAGAGGGGTTCATTGCCCTTGAGGGGCCCATAGGATGGACTTGGTAGTTTTCCTGGGCTCTGCCTTGGCCTCTGCCACTTCCTAGCAGGGTGGGCTTGCTCTAGACCGAGCTTCTGTTTTTTGTTTTAAATCTTTGAAATGGAAATAGCAGCTCTGATCTCCCACCTACCATCTTCTAGAGCTTTAATTTGTCATTGGTGTTGCTTGGTACTTTTGAGTCGAGTCCAATGTATAGCGAACTCCCCCATGTGACAGAACAGAACTGCCCCACAGGGTTTCCTAGGCTGTCATCTATTGTGTCACTATGTATATGTGTATGTTTATATATCATCCACTCACAGCACCCCCTGGTGTAACAGTGGAGAACTGCCCCACAGGGTTTCCTAGGCTGTCATCTATTGTGTCACTATGTATGTGTATATGTTTATATATCATCCACTCACAGCACCCCCTGGTGTAACAGAGGAGAGCTGCCCCAGAGGGTTTCCTAGGCTGTCCTTTATTTCTGATAGCGTAGTGGTTATGAATCGGACTGCTAACCTCAAGGTCAGCAGTTCGAAACTACCAGCAGTTCCTCAGGAGAAAGATGAGGTGTTCTGCTCCCATAAAGATTTACAGCTTCTGAAACCCTGTGCAGGGTCACTATGAGTCGGAACCGACTCCACAGTACTTAACAACAACAACATATGTATGTTTATATATCATCCGTTCACAGCGCCCCTTGGTGTAACAGAGGAGCACTGCCCCACAGGGTTTCCTAGGCTGTTAACTTTACAGGAGCACATTACCAGGACTTCCTTCCTTGGATCCAGTAGGTGGGCTCAGATCACCAGCCTCTTGGTTAGCAGCTGAGCACTTAACTGTGCATGCCACCAGGGCTCCCAAATGGTAAATATTAAGTTAATTCTCCCTGGAGGTAGGTAGGCCCTATGAAAATGTTCTTGATGAATTACCACCACTGTCTTCCCTGTCCACTCACCACTCACACTGAGGACACAGCAGCCCGTTAACCCATCACCCGGTCCCTGACTCGTCAATTGCTCTGCTACTTGTGGGCACAGGGGTTTATGGGCCGGAAGAGGAGGTGATGTGCACACAGGTGGCTGTTGATGGAGGACGACTCAGCACAGAAATCACCCATAGGGTGGGTTTCCCAAGCTGTGGTTTGGCCACTGGCAGCTCACTCACACTCCAAGCTCACTGTCCCAAGCACCCTCATCCTAGTGGCACCATGGGGTCACCTCTGTGTCATCTGCCTTGAAATCTGTCTTGTCGTTAGAGAGAGGACTGTGTCACAGTCTAAGGGCGTAGCTTTCTGGCCATGGAACTTTACTCAGAGGAAGTCAGGGAAGAAAGGAGAGCAGGATGGAGAAAGGGCTGGTCAGAAACCCATGCCCAGAAAAGCCTCCCAGCACTAGAGGGATGTGGGTCCTGTCCACCCCTCCCCTCACCACACAGCTGTGAGCGATGGGTGGGCCAGCAACCTCCCATCCCGATTACAGCCTGAGGCTGGTAGGTAACCACCAAGGCTTCCCATAGCTGGCACTGAGGTGCCTCTTCCTGTGCAGGTCCTCTTGGGGACAGCCAACTTTGTGTCTTCACAGAGAATAGAGCTCAAGAAGGGAGCCCTGGTGGCACTGTGGGTTAAGCATTGGGCTGCTAACTGAAAGTTTGGTGGTTTGAACCCCCCGACTGCTCTTTGGAAGGAAGATGAGACTGTCTGCTCCCATTAAGATGTGTAGTCTCGGAAATCTTATGGTGCAGTTCTACCTTGTCCTATAGGGGGCGCTATGAGTTGGAATTGACTTGACAGCAGAGGGTTTGGGAGCTCAGGAAGTTGTCTCCTTGAGCAAGGAGACCATCAGCACACGTTACCAGGACAGGCTCTACCACAATCTCAGAGGCTCAGACTGATAGGTGCATTCCTTCCCTGCTGGCTGTGACCCTGACTACCCCCGCACCCCCATCGCATGGTGCCTGACCATTCAGGGGCCACAGGGGACCTCTTACACCCAAGAGATGGTGCCTGATAAGAGGAAGAAGATAGGGCCATTTCTGGGACACCCTGCCCACTGCAGAGAGGCCTAAGCCCACAGCCTGGGCAGGTGACCAAAGAGCAGCAGCCTCCAAGTCCAACACCCGAAGACTCTTCACCCTCTCTGAGCCTCACTTTCCTTCTCCACTGCTGCTCAGTCATTCCACAAGCAGCTCTTGAGCTTGTGTATAGGGTGATGTGGCTGGGTGTGTTGAGCTCAGAGTGACCCCAGCCCCAAGGCTTGTTAGAGGACAGACTCACAGACAGAACACATACCCTTAGGAAGGGTGACTGCGCTGGGGAAGAGAAGGGGCTTCAAAGCCTCAGGGAGCAGTTGCCACAGCAGAGGCCTAAACAGTCTCTCTCTCAGAGCTGGAGAGGGTTGAGCCAAGTTCCTTGGGAGGACGAGTTTTCTGTCTGTGGGTCTGTCTCCCCACAAGGAGGGGCCAGGGCAACTCTGAAATCATTGTTCAGAGCCACATCCAACAGCCCCACCCTTCACACATACTCAAGAGTTGCTTGTGGAATGAATGAACAAGTGATGAATTAATGAATGCATGAGTGGATGAGTGAGTGAGTGGGTGCATGAATGAATGAGTGAATGAGTGGGTGGATGAATGAGTGGATGAGTGAGTAGATGAATGAACAGGTAGATGAGTGAGTGGATGCATGAATGAATGGATGAGTCAGTGGATGAGTGAATGGATGCATGAATGAATGAGTGGATGAGTGAGTGAATGAATGGACGAGTGGATGAGTGAGTGGATGGATGGACGAGTGGATGAGTGAGTGGATGGATGG